TATATATATTCTGTCATTTTAAAATTTACAGTTTAGATTGATGTAAAAATTTCTATTCCTTTCAACTCTCAAAAATTTAAATATTTAAAAAAATATTTTAATTTTTATATATAGGAAAAATATAAATATTTTACAGTATAATCGAACTTCCACAATACTTTTCTAACAAATTAATAGAATTCAAAAATTATTAAAATATTTTAGAAAACGTTAGTTTCTTTTTAGTTTTTCTTAAAAAAATTTTTATGAAATTTAAATAAATATCTAATACTTCTATAAAATATTTTAGAAAATTAATTAATCAATTGAAAAGTGAATTTAATAATAACTTAGCTTTTGCTGTCAAAAAATAAAACAATAAAATAAAGTTTTAAGTCCCTTACATGCCTTGTGTAAAAACAGTTTGACCCTAGTCTCAAAAATAAATTGAATTATTTTCAGCTAAAAATGTGTCGAATATTTAAAAGAAGTAAGGAAATCAGTTTTAATATATTTTACTCATTTAAAGAATGGTCCCATCTTTAGAGAAAAGAAATATTATTACTTACAGTGATAATTTGAAGCTTTTTCGTGTATTATTAATTTCACGCTTTTGATAGCATGAAAAATTGAACATGTAAAAGCGCACATGACTATACATGAAAGTGATCCCATTTTTTAAACGGCCTTAAAAGCAGTAACTTAATTCTTGAGTTATCGACGGAGCTTAATTGAACGTCAAATTTTCCAGCCAGTTGAATTAATGTTAAGATTTCTTCGACGTTTCTCCGGAAATTGCAATTTATCAAGAATTTATTTTACTGAGCCTTGAAGTTTCAATAAAAGGTAATTCAAGTACACAATGGCGCCTGTGTTTATAACACCTTACGCTATTCACTGATTTATGGTCTTTTATGTTTTACCTATTTTTGGCACGAGTAACGATTTTGTCAAGGAATGTACTTATCATTTTGGGGTTTTCGGTTACCTAAAACTCTTTTAGAATTATTTTTCCTGATAGTTTCTGATTTTTAAATTTAATTTTAATTTTAGTCCAGATGATGAAAAAAAATTTATATTTTAGTTCAAAATTAAAAAAATATTATTCATTTTTTATTTTGTCTTCTATTTTATTCAAAAACTGTTCTGGTTTAAGATTTTATAGTTTCGTTTATATAATGTTATTTTTATTTCATTTCTATGTAATTCTCTGACGTTTTATTTTATCAACATTCGTAATCCGTAGTTTCGATATTCTATTAGTAAAATTTTTACGGGTTTTGAGTGTCAGCTATTATTGTTCAAATGTTGTTCTACTTGAGTTTTTTAGTTATTTCGAACTAAAGGAAGCATATGGCAAATGTTTAAGCATTTTCAATATTTTCAAAAAATAGTAATAAAAAAATCCCCCTTATGGGTGATTTTTTTATTATTCATTTACTCATTTTGCGATTAAATTTTTCTCATTCATATTATTATAAAATTCATTTAACAGTAAGATTTTATATTGTAATTTAACAGCAATATTTATTTAATTACAGTGATTTAGTGCTTTTTCAGTAAATATTACTATTTAAAAATTTACCAAATTTTGATCCAGAGCTTTCTACAGAGTAGAGAATATTTTTTTTCCATTTTGACATCCTACGTAAGAAACGCTTTAGTCTATTTAAGACATCTTGTTAATTAATAAAGATAGATAAAGGGTTTTTTCCTCAAACCATTAAATTTTTAATGAAACCTTAAAGGAATATTATTTTTTTTTTTTTGCAGTCTATGCACTAAAAGTAAGATTTCTTCACAAAATCTTTACAAAATAGGTTTACCATTAAAGTTTATGAATCAACTGGAACTTCACTTTGTCGAGATTTTGTTTTACGGTATATGAGTTACACCTGGTTTATGGTAGAGTCAGGATTCTAAGTTGTATATATTTTTTAAATTTTGAAACTTGGTCGTAAGTATTTTGTCCTAAACTCCGTTTTAAACTAAAAATACTTGTTTTCCATAGCCGCAGAGACAATTTTTAGAACGTTTACGTCTGTAAACATTGATGGCCATAAAGCACATAATTATTGCATTCATCAATGTGAAAAAAAATTTTTTTTTTCGAAATAATGTATTACGTATGTACAAGTTTTTTTTATCGCTTGTAACGTTTTTTTAAAAATCTGAGTAACACAGAAAACATTGAACTAAATTAATTAATTTTATGAATAAATGAGGAAAATAAAAACAAAAATCGCACTTTTCAAGATTTATTAATCTTTTCTGTTTCTTTATCACTTGCTACATTCGTATGCTACATCGTAATCGTATGAATTCGTATGCTACATCGTAATCAGTAAACTTTTAATGACCATAATTATTTAAGTTAGATAAGCAACAGCGTAAAAATATGCATTCATATTTTGAATGCAGTGTTCGGTTCTTAAAAACTTTTATTTACCTTTGAGAAAATTTTTGAAGCACTAATTTTAAAATTCTAATTGTTGAAAAATATATGCAAAATATTTCGAATCAAAATTTTATAAACTTTGTGACATTTCAGTAAAACTAAAAAAAAAAAAGATTGATAAAAATGGATGATTTGACCGATATTCTACTTGAAAATAATTAAATACAACAACATCCAAGGCAAAAGTTTCATGCGCTATTTACAATATCGTTTAGAAAAAAAGATATTTTTATTAAGTTGCAGTAAGATTAAAGCTATAATCATAATAAGCTTTAAGCGCAAATGAAGTATTTTGTAATACTGCTTGCGTTCGCTTAATTTAAAACAAATGAAACTAAAAATTGTTTAATGTTATAATAAAAAGATTATTTTCAAATAATTACTTAGAATCAAATGGTCTAAGTTATTCTTTTCTATTTCACTCGTAATCTATTCTATTAACTTACACGTTTTCTGTTTCCATTAACGTACTGACGTTTCAAACCATCATACTTAAGAATTTACTGTTTTTTTGAAAACTATTTTCAATTCAAACTTATAGGAAATGTGTTTGAAAATAATCTCATGATCATACTCTAACTAACATTTTTATACTTAAACATATTTTAAAAATGACACGTTTACTCCGAAAGTGCCTTTCTTTTCAATTCGATTGGTTCTATTACGGATCTGATTGATCACAACACGAAGGATTTGCAAATAACAGTTTAGGAATATATAATTCTAAACTTACCATTCTGACATCATCAATCTCACTAATACTTCTGATGTAAATATTGACTCTTACCAAGGCAGGACCATCTAAATAGAAAAAAAAATAAATGTAAGAATACTTGCAAAATCTTTGAATTAGTTTGAAGTAATTTTGACAAAATAATTTTTTGCAAAAGTGTCGCGAAGAATTTTATTTTATCCTTTAAAAGAATTCAGCATCAATTGCCATGGTTAAACAAATTGGCGTAACTCAACCCCTTTGACATATTTGTATTCCAATAAATAGTTCTCATTTGTTACTTTTTCAGTCATTGTCAAATAAAGATAGCTAAAATTTATTTTTTATTTAAATATTTAAAAAAAATCAAAATGTTCTTTAGTAAGAAATATTTTTTTTAAAAATTTACTATACTAGTTGCAAAGTTTTTTTCGAATAAATGTGCAATAGTGAATCAAAAAATAAAAGCAATCATTAAAAAAATTTAAAAAAAAATTGAGAGCTTCATTAAGTTGAATAACAACATATTAAATAAATGTCAATTAGATTTAGATAAAACATGCATAATTCTATTTAGCGAAATATATGAGCAAACAATACTTAATACTTCCAGATAAAAGCTAATTAAGTTTAAATACAAAGTGTCTTGCTAAAAGCAAATTTTAATTAAGCAAAATTCATGAGTAAACAATACTTAATACTCTTCCCTTTAGTTAATGCAAATAATGATCAAAGAAAAGTAGTATTTTCGATAATTTTAAGCTTCATTTTTAGTTTTCAAACTTTTCGATGCTTGACTTTCAAATTTACATTTCGCGATTATGCATATATATTGAATATAGTGATAAATTAGGTTCTCAAATATAAAGGCAATTTATCAAAAAGCCTTCAGAGTATGATTTCTGTATTTGAAACAAAAACTTAAACTAATAAATACAACATCAATAAAACAAACAGCCATTGCTGGCGAATTTTGTTAAATTGAGACAATTTTAAAGCTTGAACCACTATTATTAATTGAATCGTTCACTGTTAGAACTTTCACTCTAAAATGCAGGTAAAATTCCGCTCAATTAACTGCAAAGTTTACGGATAGGAAAACTTTCTTCTCTTAACGGTTTTGAAACCTTTCACGAACAGTACGGTTTAAAAACTGTAAATATAAGACAATACGGTTTTTTAGCCATTTGCAACCAGCATGGTTTCAAAATCGTGAAAAAGAAATTTAACTGGATATTAAATCTTAGCTTTTTGTTAGATAATGGGCATTGAAGAGTGCAGGATACTGAAAACTCTTTATGTGCTGAAGAGGTTGGGGAAAATATTGTGGTGTCAGGATAAGGAAAAATATTAAAAAAGAAAAGAAAGAAGAAAAAAAAACGTCAGAGAACTGCAAACTAAAATTTGCTGAATTTCGGTTAATTTTGCAAACTTTTTAAAAAGCTTAACTTTAATAAAGTGCAGTATCACGTAAGCCATTGAATTATTTAAAAATATAGTGGTGAGTAGAAACCATTTAAATCGAATTTACTAAATCGAGATTCTTACAATAAAAGACTACCACTTGAAAGTTATCTATTGTAGGGAGCAAGTTGAAATCTCTTTGGTGTCAAATCTGGGAATCGAACCCCGTTATATGGGTCGTGAAACTTACAAATTAGCCCTCTTGGCTATAATATGCTCCCACCTGCTAGGAACTAAGTGCCTTCATTAGATGGGCCTAGTTAGCGCTGTAAAATTCTGCTTTTTTAACTGTATAAAAGAAAGTAACTAACAAACGGTTTTTATCAGAGTTAACAGTTTCAATACCATCTTATTTATGGTTACTTGACAGTTTCGTTTCGACATGATAAAATAACAATTAAATAAATTGTTGTTTAACCATTTTTCAGAGAAATTTCTAACAGTGTTCACTTGTTCCAACTCTAAATCAGTCACGTTCCTGATTGGTTGTTTGAAGTATTTATAATTTCAAGTCATGTGATATTCTTTTCTTATTGGTTATGTTTTATCTATTTTTTTTAGATTTTTAAGTGTTAGTAAAATATAAAACAAACTTTTAAAAAAAATCAGACTAAGCGATAAATAACTTTGCGAGATATGAGTGTGTCAGTGAAACAAAATTTATATGCCCTTGCACAGAATATATTTATCTATATGTTTTTCTACATTTATTGGTCCACTTATTTTAAGCTTGCAACCGAATGTGAGAAAAATTTCTTCAAAGCTTCTTGAAAGTTTCTAAATATAACTAGGAGTTTCTCTAATTTCTTTTTCTTTTAAATTACAAAATACTTATTAAAACTAGATAAAAACCAGACATATTTAAATAATCATTTTAATAATTTGAGGCAAACACCCTTATGTTTGTTGATTTTTCACATATATATTGATTTCAAATTATAGGTTTAGACATTTGTCATAAAGTTTAATACGACCTCTTAAAATTTAAAACTGTGGTTGATTTAAGTAGTTCATTTCATTTTACGTCCCGCAACAAATGGCGACGCACATACAGAATTTAGGGTGTTGCTTGCATTCAATTTAGAATTTTAGAATAAAATATTTCACCAAGTTCATTACCACTAGTTTTGTTTGATGGAAAATAACTGGCCTTTCCGTTATCTAAACACAGAATAACGATATTAAGTTCTCAGAGGTAACCCTAAAAGACTATTTGGCGGAATAATTAAATAATTTTTATGGCTTTCCTGTAATTAAAAATAACAGTATTCAGATTACTTTAGACATCTCAAAAATAATTCTTTAGTATATTCTGTGTTCCATGCTTGACTGTCATTGTTTCATCGATAAATAATGAAAATAAAATTATCTCACCTTTATATGTCTAAAACTAGCTTTAAAATAGATTTAGGCTTGCAAAATTAAGCTTAGTTCGAAGAGATTACTTGTAATTCTCCATAAGAAAAAAAACATGTCACAAAATTAAATATAAAAAAGATGTTTAAAAAGAAATTTTTTTAACACTTTCTATAATGTTTCGAAAGTAGACAGCATGGAGAAAATTGTTTAACTTGAAGTATAAAATGAATGATATAAAGAAAGTTTCTCAAAATATTCTATTTTTAGGAGCACTTTCATTACCCTTATACTCTAAAAAGTTTTGCTTCTGGATTATTGCCAGTAACCAGTAAAAATTGCTTGTATGCATCTAAAGACATTGCCTGTAATTTGTGCTAGTAAAGATATTGTGAAAAACTCAAAATATTTTTCTCGCAAAATGTGTGGTGACAGACTTTTTAAGTAACATAACAAAGTTTTCTTCAGTTTGGGTTATCATCACGTTGTTTGAGACTCCAGTGATTTGTTATTCGAATCAATGCGAAAAGTAAGAAGAGGCTAAAAAGTGTACTGCTGCCATCTATCAAGGAGTGAGAGAGTTGCTTGTACGTTGTCCATGGTCACCAATGTAGAGAGTATACGAGAGATCTATTCCTTGAGTATCCGGGATCTTTGCCTATATAGCCTGTTGCTATAACTATCCAAATTTCGTTACAATTATGGGCATTAAGCTTTTTTTTTCTCAAAGAATGAAGCTGACTGTAAAAATTAACGTTTAATTTTACTAAAGTTGTTGGAGTTCGTCGCAATTACGGGTGACTGGCCGTATAAATGAACAGTCAATTCTCTGAGTTTTACTTCTATTATGTTAACGCTTACTTCTACTAAGTACTTATGTCTACTTTTGAACGCATTTCATTTACTTTTATTGTAGAACCTATTCTATAAGAAAAATTAAAAACTTATACATTTCTAAAAAAACAAGTATGTATTACGTTAAATAAAATTCAAATTTTAAGTCTTAGCTGATTCGTAGAATACAACTTACGTGATTAACGTGTTATTGAAAAATAATTTATTTGAAAAAACTCAAGAATAATAAGAATTTAGAACAATTCTGAATTTGTATTTTTCACTTTGCTTTTCAAAGTCTATCTTCCGTTTTCCTTCTCAATTTATCAATGTCATGCACAGACAATGAATCTTCTATTCAAGAATAGCGGGTTTTTTTCTTTTCAGTCTTTGATTACTTTCACTTGATATTTATAGGAATGAAGCAAAGAATTTTTAACTTTTTAAAAAAAGATTCCTAACAAAGGTCTGAGCTAAAAACATTTCCGAACTTAAATATGAAAATAGGAAACACTATGATGTAGAGAACAACGGTTTCTACCTTATTTTTTAGTCTTGATGTTCTGCTTTAAAAATATTCTCTCCCAATTAAATAGTTACATAATTTTATAAACCTCAATTTAAACGCAATTTTGTATTTAAGTTCACACCTTATCATTAAATTGTAATAAATTTATGCAGGGATAAATCGATAAGTTTGTATCAAAAATTATATAAAGCGTCCATAGTGGTAAGTAATTTCATCTTTTCCTATTGTTTAAAATTACAATTTTTCCCCGCATTCAAACTTTAGATCAAGAATCTCTGCCTTTAAAACCTTATTAATTTGCTTCATAACAAAGTAATGAATTACTGTGTTATTCAATTAAGAAATATGCATCTTATAGGAGTTTCTCACAAAATTACATTACGTACCTAAAATTGCTCAATGATTTAAAAACTTGCAATGTATGAAATATCAAAAGAATTATTCAAGCGCTCATAAATAAGTATTTTATTCAATAATTCCTTTGAAATAATAATTTTGGAAGAAAGTAAAAAATTGATTTGAAAATACTATTTTAATATCAGCTAGTAAATGAATAGAATTATTAATAATTTTGCAAATGTTATATTATTGTTTTAAATTTAAATGTATATACCGGGCTTAATTTTCTAATATTCAAAATAATTGCAGTGAGTTATTCATTGAATTGAATTTACAAAAGTGAAACGTTGAATTATAGAAAAATGCGGTTATAAAAAAATCGTATAATTCACATAAATAAATTCGTTTTCTTATGCGAATATTTTTCCAATCACTTTTTACTAGGTAAGAAAGTTTACGTTATGTTTACTTATTATTTAAGTCAAATGTATGTCAAAATTTGTGTAAGTTGAAAAGTGGAATTATAAAAAACAGTGGTTATCCAAAAAACAGAAAATTTGCGTAAGT